ATAATTATTATTATTATTATTATTATTATTATTATTATTATTATTATCCTGAAGCTGTTAGACTCAAGAATCATTAATTAGGAAAAATATAAATAAATCACTGTAATGCCACTTTGACTGTTGGCATATACTGCTGATTATCCATGCTGCTGATCTCATGCTGCTGATTATTTCATGCTGCTGTATTCATTCATTCATACTCGTCTACTCACACAGATCCATGTTCGTGCTGCTGTTGTTTAGTGTATTATTTTGCACTATTAGTGTTTAGCATATGTCTTAGTTTAGCGTATTAGTTTATATCTTAGATCTTATTACTGTTTCTTTTACAATTTATATTTTTGCTGTTGTTAGATGTAACTGGGACCCTGAGTACACAATTTCATTCCTCCTCGTGTACCACATCTGGTGTGAATGACAACAAAGAAACATTGACCTTAATACCAATGTCCTTTTGGAAGAACCACTTGTTCCCAGTTTTACTATCTTTAACTTCCCGGTTGATTTCTTGAGCTGTCTTTTCAACATTTTCACATTATGTTTGTTTCTCATGATGCCATTTATTTTTGAGAAGTGCTTCAGTCCCTCCTGCAGCAAAACACAGTGTCAACATGCTGCTGCCACAGGACGGTCAACAGATCATTGGGGTCTTTGTCATTCTGTGCATGTTACTGTTGTAACTTTTATGTTGCTTTCAGAGTAAAGGCTTCTTCGTCCTTTCAGCCCACGTTGGTCCAGGACTTGTTTCTCTACAAGGATTCTCTGACGAGCTTCAGCAGCTTCTTCGCAGTCTTTTAGTTTTGCTTTAGAGTTGACACAGAACCTGTCTCCTTCCTGAATGGTATGATGGCAGGATGTTCCCATTGTGTTCATACTTGTGTATAAACGCTTGAACAGATTAACCTTCATACATTTGGAAAGTGTTCCCAGAGATGAACCAGAGTGAGAGAGGTTGATCATTCTCTTCCTAGCATCTTGACTGATTTATCTAGATTTTTTTTCCTGTGATGCCACACAAAGAAGCAACGTGTTTGTGGTGTTCCTTTAAATACATTCACAAGCGTGTCTCCAAAGAACTCAGATGCTGTCACTAACCATGAAGCAGTGACATCATCAAGTTGTAGACATCACATTCTTAGTGTATGTACGCTTGTGACTTTGAAGAAAGTAAATTTAAAGAAAAGTCCTAAAATATATCTTTCTTAATATTTGGGCGTTTACAAGTAGAAATAATTTCAGGAATTCTAACTGGACTTAAACAGGAAAAGCTTAATCTGATTTAATATCAGTGAAAAAATAGTTTGTGACTTTTTATCACCTGCTTAGAAGGATAAGGGTTACATAAGCTGAAAAACACAAAACACACTTACTGGTTTACCCCTGTGCGACGCTGCCTATTATCAGCGATAATAACGATAATAACGTACCTTTAAACCCACTAGGAGGTACTGTAGGTGGGACAGTCTCACCGCTACATATGGGGATGATAACAACTAATAACGGCCATTTAATGGACTGATAACATCCGAAGCCGCTCCTTTTTATACAGTGTATGTAAACATTTGGTTTCAACTGTACAGACGGACGGACGTTAGAGAGACTTTATCAAATGTGAAACATCAACCCATCTTGAGCACAAACATTTTAATAAACTGTTTTGGTTGAAAAACAAATGTCTTGTCTTTTGTGTTCAGTGTTCGTCCTGTCCACACTGCTCCAGATATCTTTTAAAACTGTTTTTTTTTTTTTTTCAAACTTTTATTTTATTTGCTCTCTTTGTAGACATTCAGATGTTCCATATATTTGTGTTGTTTTGCTTTTAAAGAGGTTTAAACCTCCACTCAGTTTTGAATATCCTTACAGTATATAGAGAACTTTACTAATTGGCTTTTCTATGTGAATGTTCCTGTAAAGTGCCCTGAGACAACTTTATTGTAATTTGGTGCTATATAAATAAACTGAATTGAATTGACTATGTCAGCACATATTTCAATTTTCAAAGGTTTTAAGACCAAGATGAAGTATGTCACGTGTATAAAAACCCATATGAACAGTTTACGTGTTGTTTGGGTTTATAAGACACAGCATGCACTAAATGAGCTGCGATGGAATTATTTCTTTAAGGCTTGTTAGTTTGTGTTGTTTTTTTTGTTAAAAGGCTAAATCAAAACCCATGAAGCATGACAGCAGGAGTAAGCTGCAGGTGTGATAACTGTGGAAATACTTATTACAACAACAACAAGAAAACTTTTTCTGTTTACAGTTTTTGATGCAGTTTGGGCTTTAAGTGTTGATAAAACTATCATATTACTTGTTCTTACAAATTTAACATTTACTATAAACAACATATTTATCATTTTTGTACACGCTTCAGAGGTGAAGCCCCAGTCTAAAGCAGTGGAACATTTTGTAACACATTTGTAAAATAAAACATCATTGCAGCAGAAACTGAGACTAATGCAGCAGACCAGTCAGGCTGACTACAAACTGGCGCCTGGCTCTGAGCATATTTTGTGGATGATCCTGCTTTATTCTTGTTAAAGAGGTAGGGCAGCCAACTTGGAACCAGAAAGTCACAGGTTCAACTCCCCGCCATGCCCACATGTTGTGGTGTCCTTGAGCAAGACACCTAATCCCTAACTGCTCCCCGGGTGCCTACATAGCTGCCCACTGCTCCACCTGGCTGTATCTCAGGTGTGATGGTTAAAGCTCTTTACTTTATAGCTTCTGCATGAACTGTATGAACGTAACATGTTCTAAATGTTCTGGTTAGACACCACTCTGATCTGATCTTGGCTTTTAGTTTTTGTTTGCAAGTTTTCAGGAATGCTCCAGTAAACCCAGTAGAGGGACTGCAAGGCTTCAAAAAAGATCTGTGGAACAACACATGGTGTTAAATGTACACGGTCAACACCCCTCATCCCACTCCCAAAACACATCACACATCAAGGCAACAGCCTAGTTTCTGCTGGCAACATGTGGGATTACTCTATGAGGTAAGTAAGTGCATGTGTGTTCCAGCATGCGTTCACTACATCCCAGTATTTGTGTGTACTTGTGCAGCTCAGCAATGACTCACTGTTGGCTGCTGGTCTTCTGTCCAGGGACTCACAACAAGCTGCAGCCAGGCGTTGTGTGTTTTTGCTCTCAGCTGCAAAATGTAGGAGGACGAGCTTCCTGTGGTTGCCAGGTGCATCTTCTTAAAGCAGCATTTTAACACTCGTTTTGTCAGAGGTCAAACTGAAGTGAGCAAATCTCAAATATTCTGTGGTTCCACCAGGAAAAGCATTTTCTTTCTGCAGTACTTTACATCTTGTGAGGATTTTATTATATTATTTTTATAGTAGTTCCAGTGCAAAAGTACTGAAGCACGTTAGTATCTGTAACGAGTTTTATTTTGCATTTTAATTTTCTCCGCCGACAGCTTTGGTAAAACTAAAACGCTCAAATACAGCTCTGTCAGAGGAAAGGTGCTATTACTTTCTCAAGAGAACATTTGCTAAACACCCCAAATATAATTTTAAACATTTCGTCTGTGTTTTCATTTTTGAAGGTTTAAATATTCAAACTAAGTGTGATTTCACCTCAACTTGGTCTAAACCTTTTAAATGTTTTCCAAACTCTTCTAACTCAAAGCTTCTTCTTGTGCAGTTTTAAATCGTGCAGGCAGTTCTGTCTCCGTTCATGTAGAAGAGCCTCCATCTCCTACAGGACTTCAGGTTTTCTCCTGAATCCTCTCAGAGTGCTCACACCCCAACTCAAACTCAGAACTTCTCTTTAGATCTGAAAGTAAAATGTGTTTAAGGTTTGTCCTATCTGCTACATAAGTCACTGTAAACACATAAAATAATAAGTTTGATGAGCAGACGCTTCTTCAACTCACAGTCGAGAATTTATTGTAAATTTGCATTTTGCACAGTGACTGTATGTTTAGAGCTTAATCTCTAATTAGCATCTTTGTCTGCCTGTTTCATTAAGAATCCTGCCATGGGGAGCGATGGAGCCTCAGACTGGTTTGGAGCAGACACGTGGTGGGGGTTTAATGGTGGTTATAATGAGCCACCGGCAGCAGCTTTAGCTGTTCTGTTGATCGTGGGTGTCTTTGCATGTATTCAAACAGTTTAGACATCAAAACATTGACATTTTGTCATCTTGGATTATCACAGATTATGACTACATCCCAAATTACAATTAGATTTTTACAAAAATCAAGATGATGCATGTTGGGAGTTCAGGATGCCATACTCTTTTTAAAATGTACATGTGTCTAGTCTGGCTTTATTGGCATTTGAAAAGTCTCACACACAGATCTGCTGTTTTCTGATTAACCAAGAAACATCTCTTTGTTGTCTGCTAGCATGTTCAAACACACATGGTGGGGGGGGGGGGGCAGCAGGGGCTGCTGCTGTGGGGGAATGGGTGAACATGAGGCAGCTGAAGGGGTGTGGACAGCACAGAGCGAGGGAGGCTGAGGGAGCGGGCCCATATAAAGAGAGACTGAACACAAGTCTGGCTTTATCCTTCTTGTCTGTCCCGCTCATTCAGACCTCACAGGAAAAGTCCAGCTCCCACCCCCCCAACCCCTGAACCTCCAGCTTGCCTTCACAAACTTTCTGCCTTCACAGTTTGTCCTGCCGCCTGCGTTGCCTCAGAGAGGATGGCTGCATCCATGTGGAGAATGAATGGGCTCTGTGGGAGCCCGGCTGCAGCTCTGCTGCTCTGCACTCTATTGTTCTGCAGTAAGTACTCTTCCATTGACTTTCCTTTCAGACCCTTATCCACAGTTTTATGTTTGCTGGTATAATTGTCTGGATTTGCCATTTTCCTTTTTGTTGTTTCCATTTTTTCCAAGTTATCTACTGTCATAGACTAGGTTTAGGGTTCAGCAACAGACACAACACTCACTGAGGTGTTTGTTTATTTGACTGTACCAATGAGTCTTTATCCAGATGTGTAGACTCCGAGTGTTGGGGCGCTGCAGAAACAAAGGATCTGCTCTGCAGTGGAAAGTTTCAGTTGAGAATCAGTTTGCTCCACATCCTGTAGCACATCTGGGTGGAGCTTAAATACGTTGGAGCGTAAAACGAATAAAGCCACACAAAAACACAGCCTGAGCTGAATGTGTTTCTGCTTTTATTCAAATTATAGGATTAGTTGTTTCATATTTCTGGCATCCTTAAACGACACATGTAAATTCAAACCAGAGCCAAAGAAGTCCACCCCCACCCCTTCCTCACTGCTCTGCAGCAAGGAAACATGTGCGCTCTCATGTGTCTGCTCCACATCAGTCTGAGGCTTGATGCTAATTGCAGGGTGATGGACGGCGGGAAGGCGTAACTGCCCCACCAGTTGCAGGCAGCACTGGTTCTACTTTGACCCATTGTAACAACTTCTGCAGAGCCTGTTGGGCCTCATCTACCAGCACAGGGACAGTCAAAGTTTGGACTGGCCAGGAGGAGTTTTTCAGACTGTGGAAATAACTAAAGATTGACTTTATAAGGGAAAAGCTCATGAGGTGGTGGGACATGTTCTTATTTGTGCGTACCACAAACCCTGCGCTGCAACATTAGTTCAAGTTGGGTCACTTTTTAAATTTATGCTCAATAACTCAAATCATGAAAAACTGACCTCAGAAGTTAGACGCATCAGACAGATCCCTCTGTCAGGCCGGGCGAAGAGAAACTACATTAAAAACGTTGTTCAGTCCGAAAAAACTGTAAGAAACTGCATAAAAAGCAATAAAGAAAGATTTGTTCTTTAAAAGCAAAAAGCAAGAATGCTAAACAGGCCAAGATGGTAAAAAGCACCAGCAGGTAATCTGTCAAAATGTAGATGTTTGATGAAGCGCTGACAGAACATTGAGCAACATTCAGAAAATCTACAGAACCAAAGTCGAGTAACTTTTGCTCACTCTTCTACATCAACCTTCCTGCTGCTCTGGGATCATTTTTACCCAAGGGCAGCAGGAGGGTTAGGGTGCTGTCCCATCTCTGCTGACCACACTCAGTTCTTTGCAACAACAGCTCTCAGTCCAACCTGGTACCTGTGGACATCTGTCACTGTGCTGTGAAGTTTTAATTAGTTTGTCAACTTTAGCTAAAAAAGTTTAAAATTCCTCGTTACATATATGAAATATGAGATAACTGTGGCACGGTGCATCAGTTGGTAGAGCTGTTGCCTGTCAGTGAGAAGGCTGCTGGATCAAATCCCGGCCTGGGGACCTCTCTGGGTGGAGTTTGCATGTTCTCTCTGTGCATGTGTGGGTTTTCTCCGGGTACTCCAGTTTCCTCCCACAGAACAAAAACATGCATGTTAGGCTGATTGGTAACTCTAAATTGTCTCTAGGTGTGAGAGACAGAGTGAATGGTTGTTTGTCTCGTTTGTCTCTATGTGTCCCTGTGATGGACTGAGACCTGTCCAGGGTGTCCCCCACCTCTCGCACAGTGACTGCTGGACATGGGCACCAGTACACCAGAGGAAGAAACTGGTAAAGAAAATGGATGGATGGATGGATGGATGGATGGATGGATGGATGGATAACTTGATCCACATTCTGATAGTTCATCAATTCTGTATTAGTCATGTGTGTCCTTGTTTTAGACATCTGCAGCCTCAGTGGATATTTTCCACAACATAGTACATGTAGTGTAGTAGTAGTACTACTACTGTAGTAGTCGTATTGTACATGAGTGTAAATTCTTGCCTGATGACATCAGAAGTCGTTTAAAGACACAGACTGTTTTAATTATGCTTTGATCCATATGAAGAAGGCTCTTTGTCACATTATTCTCGTGCATGCAGCTTGTGCAGAAGTGCACGATGACTTGTTTTGGATCAGTTCATGCTCAACAATGTTCCTGGTGGGGATGTGGGATCTGCTTCGAAAGTAGTTGAGTAGTAACAATTACACAAAGGAATTGAACTCTGGGAATGACTTTCTTATGGCTTATACTACTTTGGCTGAACGACGGGCTCAGCAGGTCCTGCTGGGCAGCGGTGGAGAGGACATCCTGAGGGTTGTCCAGGGTGGGGAAAAACCATTAACCCCAGATGGGGGCTGGGACTGTGCTGGAACATGTTGGATCTGCAGCAGCTGCAGTTCACAACATGCAGGACTTAAAGGATCAGGCAGGAACCTTTTTAACTCTAGATGCCTCTGGGAAGTTCTGGAGTTCTTGTGGAGTGCTCTGGGGGGTCATGTCCTGTGGTTTGCAGTGAACCAAACGCATGTCAGACAAGTTTAGATCTGAAGGTTTGGCTTATTAGTAATTAATAGTACTTAATTATGTTTTTCCATCTAAAGCATCTGATTCAAAATTTGTAGTTTAGAAACATGGATCTGGTTCAGCCAAACATAAAATAAAGAGTTAAGATAAACAAACAAATAAATAAATAAATAAATAAATAAATAAATAAATAAATAAATAAATGCTTGTTGAAACATTTTTGCCACATATGAACAGCTCAGCCATCCTGACTCTCCAGCAGGAGTTTGGTTCATATTCCTCTTCCCATGGCTGCTGGTGAGTTATGCAGGCGTGCAAATATGCAGCACTGGATGGCCAAGCTGTGAGTTGGTGATGTCATCCTGCACTTCATGTAGGCTATAAGCTGTCCCTCTCAAGATTTCTGGGGAAAACCCGAGCAGTAAACCTGCTTTGGCGAGGGGGGGAAAACATCTTGTCCCACTTAATTCTGCTCGTCATCCACAATGACTCCTCCAGTTGTTGAAGTCGGGGCCTCGGGCCGAGCCCAATAAGCTGCGACAGCCACTGTTTGAAAAGACGACATGAGACTAAAGATTTGCTCTTATGGTTAGAAAACTCTGGCATGTGTGCACAAATGCACACTCTGTAGAGCTAAACAGATTATGAGGTTTCGCTAATGAGTTATTTAAATGAAACTTTAGTTGGATTTGATTTTAAAAAATAAAAACACAGAAGAAGAAACCCCTCAAACTGTTGGCACAGGGTGGGTGAAACTTCCCCCTGCCAATAAAAACAGGCTGAACATTGCCACGGCCCTGAGCTATTGACCGGCATTCCTTCAGTCCCATGTTGTGTTGGAGTTTGATTCACGTCATCTGTTGGAGGGTGTGGGTCTTTTATATAAGCCTTGGCTGATCGTAGCCTTATGTCAGCAGAGGGTGTGTGTCCATCTGAGCCAAAATGGCTGGAAACCCACGTGAGCTTGCAAAGTAATCAAGGCTGGAGCCTGTGTGCTGTCAGAATGTCTTTTACTTCAGAGATGTCTGTGACATCATGGCTGGAAATGACTTCAGAAGTGTCAAAAATTGCCTGTCGTTAGTGTTAGTTCCCTTGTTAGCACATTCCCCTCGACAAGTAAAGAGCATATTTTAGAAATGGTGTTTTTTTACTATTTTCAACTCTTTTCTAAAGAAAACCCGTGCATGATAAGAAAACAAAAGCACCACTCACTGATTATTCTGAAAAACAGAGTTGACTTTAGAGAAATGGATCGTTTCGAGCACGGTGTGAAGCAGCTCTAATGAAAAGCAGAAACCATTCAAGTCTTCCTCTTCCAGTTACTGCTGTTCTGGAGAGCTTATTGTTGCTTGTTCTGCTGGCACCCCGCTGCACTTTTACACCTTCTGGCTGTTACAGCACTGAGGTCTTCAGCCTCTGTTCCTCTTCTGCTTTTAGAACTACAATATTTGACGACACACCGACTATGATAAACCAAATATCTGTTTAAAATCAAGTTGCGTTTGCAATCGTACAATTACTGAGTGGCAAGCAGCAATCAGGACTGCTTGTTATTCACAACATACAGGTCTCTCTGGTAAATGAGTCCTTGTGGCTCAATGAGACTAACCTGTATAAACAAAGGTTGAATGAATTTCGTGTAAAATAATTGTAAGACTATCTTTGGGCATCGGCTTTAAGTCTTTCTGTGTTACACCCAAGTGAGCACGCTCACAACCACAAACGAGCTACGACAAATTTAAAGTGGTGTCAGACATTTTGGGGACAAGTCGTAGAGGGACTGGTGCTGATTCCCCCGACGTATGTTTTTCTCACTCTGAGCTCATCCACAGCTGTCTCCTATTCCTCGTCCTTCTCACCCATTTTTTAAAAGTCTGGATCCACTATGGAGAGTTTGTGTTTAATTGCTTTAAAGTAGTGCCTCACTGGGCTGTGGCTGCTGTAATTAGTTGATGATCATCAATCTATTCAACAGACTCCAAAATGTTTGCAGGGATTTTCAGTTTTATTGAGCTATTCTCTGACAAAAATCGCATAAACATCTTAAAACCAATTCAGTTCAGTTTATTTATATAGCACCAAGTCACAACAGGAGTCGTCTCGGGGCACTGAACAGAAACATTCATATATAAAAAATAATAATTTAATATTATTTATCTGGGGAGCAGACTGCTTTGAGTTTAACTCCATCTTGAGCATGAAGGCGACAGTGGAAAGGAAAAACTCCCCCGTGAGGAAGAAACCGTCAGCAGAACCAGGCTCAGGACAAGCGGTCATCTGCTTCAACCACACCAATGATGAATAATATATATTTTTAAAAGTTTGAATTTGTATGTCTTCATTTCAAAAGTGTGCATCAGTAGTTTAAGGCTGAAAGGTGGGGGCAGCTGCCCAGGTGGATACAAAACTGTGTGAGGCAGGTAAGAGGTGGGCAACGAGACAAAATGCACGGCCTAGAACACAGATTAGCAAATCTTTCACTCAGAAACATTTTGTAATTTTTAAAAACGTGA